TCTTGTGTATTGTGTAAATATCAGTGGCGTGCTGTGACATTTGACGATAGGGAAACTGTGTTTCTGTAAGAAGCCGACATCCAGGGACAATTAGTCAATTGTGCATCAGTGATGGTCTAGGGTCCATTCGTATCATTTATTCAATAAACCAGTAAAAACTGTAGACTTCTCTAAATGCATTTTTAATATCATAATTACATTCCAAATTGCTAGCCACGATGTAAGGGCTACAATTAAAAATAAAATAATAAAAACTTACTTGGTGAAATAAAATGTTGGTAAATGCACCGGTACATACCTGGTATAAAATACTCTTCAATTGTATGAATATACTTTTAAAGAAAATTATAATTAAATATAGCTTTGTAAAGAAACATACATAAAAATATAAAATATTCTTTACTTTTTAAATGTTAAAACAATGCACTTAGTCAAATAGCTCCCTACAAGTGGCTAATGGATGGAATCGAAGACGGTTGTAGAGCGTGCATACATGCGGACTGCCAAATCCCCAGGGTGCCGATACCGGTCAATGTCAAATATCTCTTTTTGTTGCATCACTAGTATATCTCAAAGGATGCGACAGTGCTGTTGTAGATTTTAAACGTCTCACCATAGCTGTAAAAATCTAAATATGTTAAACTTAATAGTCATTTGTTTTCTAACTAATTCTTTTTAGGACCAAGTGTCCTCAGAAATTTCTAAAATTTACAACTTTTCGGTCACTCTTATTGAACCGGAAAAATTTCTGTTTTTATTATATTAATAATACAAAGAAATCACTCCCACTGTACTTGGCTGGATTGATTCGGTTAAGCTTTTGTTTAAGTAAAATCTCGGCTCTTTCATCAGGGTTTTGTTTATGTCCCCAATTCCCTAATCGCTTAATTATTTAACTACTACTTAAGTAAAAGTAAGTCGAAACCAGTTACTTTGTACTCAAATATTTGTAGTCTCACGAAAAAAGTGGAAAGACAAATTTTTATGACAGACGGATACATAAATCGTAAATGTAAGGAAAATAAATTCTAGAGATTTTTCTGTACCTCATGCATCTCTCTCATTCATTAAATTTAGTTGTAAATGACGCTGTCAAAGTAACAGTTAATTTTTTAACATTATACAAGAATTGTACACGTTTTTTTCTACTTCCCCTTATAGATGGGACATATGAAATCGTAATATCACTGGTTTAACATTGAAATCCGTGAGTAATATAAAATCGGAGAGCGGAATAAATATATCAAATATTTTAATGGATTTTTTAAACTCCTGTCAACTATACAGAACTATCATAAAAACATACCAGTAAATTCTTATCGGTTGGGCTAAGTTATAAATCTACTCGTGATTCACGTAATTGGGCGAGGGCGGCCAAATATCTAGCGGGCAGGCGGCTAACGGCCCAGAACTAAAATGGATAAAATTGGATGCGGTATATGTGTAGCATCCACCCGAGGTCCTAGGCTTCCACTAGCTAAACCGGGTGAGGTTGGTGCTCTGTAAAGCACATGCACGAATCTGGCTTTTTGGATGCTGACAATACAGCGCTTCCACTCCACCACTAGTATTCGAATATACAATAGCAATCTTATTATTTTTTGTCATGTGTAGTTTAGAAATTTGTAATAAGATACATAATTCGGTTATAATAAAATATTGTGCTATTATTTTCATATAATTAAAATTAAATATGTATTTATTTTTTAGAAAATACAAGGAAAGCGGNTAGTCATTTGTTTTCTAACTAATTCTTTTTAGGACCAAGTGTCCTCAGAAATTTCTAAAATTTACAACTTTTCGGTCACTCTTATTGAACCGGAAAAATTTCTGTCTTTATTATATTAATAATACAAAGAAATCACTCCCACTGTACTTGGCTGGATTGATTCGGTTAAGCTTTTGTTTAAGTAAAATCTCGGCTCTTTCATCAGGGTTTTGTTTATGTCCCCAATTCCCTAATCGCTTAATTATTTAACTACTACTTAAGTAAAAGTAAGTCGAAACCAGTTACTTTGTACTCAAATATTTGTAGTCTCACGAAAAAAGTGGAAAGACAAATTTTTATGACAGACGGATACATAAATCGTAAATGTAAGGAAAATAAATTCTAGAGATTTTTCTGTACCTCATGCATCTCTCTCATTCATTAAATTTAGTTGTAAATGACGCTGTCAAAGTAACAGTTAATTTTTTAACATTATACAAGAATTGTACACGTTTTTTTCTACATCCCCTTAAAGATGGGATGTACGAAATCGTAATATCACTGGTTTAACATCGAAATCCGTGAGTAATATAAAATCGGAGAGCGGAATAAATATATCAAATATTTTAATGGATTTTTTAAACTCCTGTCAACTATACAGAACTATCGTAAAAACATACCAGTAAATTCTTATCGGTTGGGTTAAGTTATAAATCTACTCGTTATTCACGTAATCGAAATATCTAGTGGGCAGGCGGCTAACAGCCCAGAACCGGTCCCGAATAGAATTGGAAGCGTTATATGTGTAGCATCCACCCAAGGTCGTAGGCTTCCACCGGCTAAACCGGGTGAGGTTGGTGCTCTGTAAAGCGCATGCACGAATCTGGCTTTTTGGATGCTGACAATACAGCGCTTCCACTCCACCACTAGTATTCGAATATACAATAGCAATCTTATTATTTTTTGTCATGTGTAGTTTAGAAATTTGTAATAAGATACATAATTCGGTTATAATAAAATATTGTGCTATTATTTTCATATAATTAAAATTAAATATGTATTTATTTTTTAGAAAATACAAGGAAAGCGGAGCATCTACCGCTTCCAATGACGGCACGCCACTGGTAAATACACATTTTGTGCCTCAAGGAATACAGATTAAACAAGAACTATATCTCACAATTTGATTTTTGCTTCATAGTGACTATCAATGACAGACTATTCATAAAAGTTTTGCAAACAAAATTAAAACCAACATGAACTGACCAGCACTGATGGAAGATTGTTATGAGACTTCAGAGAGATGCAACCATCATATTTATTCAGAAATTCATAGAGGAAAAATTTCAGGATGTTCCATGAATTTAATGTTCAGTCCTTATATCTAAATATATGTCAATATAAAAAATAAACTTGTTATAAACAATAATAAAATTCAAATAAGAATGCAAAATGATAAAATCTGTATATTTTATAACTCTTATTTAACATTTTCCCAGGGACCAACTAAAATTGAGGCACACTTAGAATAATGGTTTTGGAAAAATGATTATAAAAACAATTATTATGAATAAAATTAACATTTATGTACTGTAATCTCTTTTATTATTTATCTAATATAAAAATTTAATGTCAACGTCTTTAAATTCATAACATATTAACATTTCATCAATTCATGATCATAATAATTTTATCATTTTCGAAGTTGCAATTATATTTAGGAAGTAATGGGTTGCAATATATTTGACAGGACATTTCCTAGTATTCACTTTTGCTTGTATATTTAAAATAATAATTTTAAATTTAAATTTTTAATATTTTAAACTTTGTTATTACTGTTTTAAAATGTGGTGATAGGTCAAGAAATGACTCCCCCAAAAGTTTTACATTTTTGGAATTAGGACACCTTGAAATGTTGAGAAACGCAAAAAAGTTTGGGGTAATTTTTGTATGAATGTGTGTGGGGGGGCATGATTTTGTTTACCCTCTTTGAAGCTTATAATTCCTGTGCTGTTTGTTGAAAATTACTGAAATTTAGCAGGGAGGTTTGTTTATTAGGGGGATTGATGCTATTAAATTTTGGTGGTTAAAGATCGAGGTGATGGGGAGATAATGGGATCATGTATAACTCCAGTAGGGTTGGACTTAATGATGATTTTACTTGTTATTAGATTTACAATTTTTTTATAAAACTCATCCCTTCTTCAGAATAAAGCTTTTTGATATTTTATAATAGTTAAAAATATATAAAGGTTTTTTAATAAAATATGATAACAGATGGCACCACCAAAATTTTAAATATTGCTGGGAAAGTTGAGCAACTCATTGCTGGTTTATATTGGATATAAACCAGCAAAGACAAAAGCCATCCCTTTTGTCTTTGGATGGTAGAATTCTTTTCAAAACTTCTGCCAGCTTGTTGCTCAAGGAATATGGACATTTAGGCTGTTTTTCTGCATAAATCTCAAGGTTTGAAGTGTATAACACTTTAGTATCAACCACACAAAATAATTTATAACCTTATTTGGCTTTGAAAGACTGTACTGTTTAAATGCATTTTTTTGCCTCAGAATCCAACTAGTATTTCATTAATTGTAATGTTTTGTCCCATCTAATAAGAAGCTTTGCAATATTTAACAAATTTTAAAAATAACTTTCAAAATTGAGTAATAAATTTGCACAAGTCTACTTATCATCAAATCAAATTGCATTGTCAGAATTTTAACATCAAACTAGTAGATCTGAAAATGGAAATGTAAAATCCCAAAAGCACTGAATCTAAGTAAATATTTTTACTTCAATAATTTTTTCCTTTCTAGTTTTATAAGAACTTGAATCTTCACAATATAGTCAGATGGAACATTTTTACTCCCTTGGCACTTGTATCCCATAAGTCCTCCAAATTTTGACAATTACTCTGATATAATCTGTCAAAATAAAGAAAACTCATAAATGCCGTTTAGTAATGTTCTGTAATGTTAATAATTAGTTCAATTCTGTAATGATTGTTATTTTAGCTTCTCTTTGCCAAATATTGCATTGTATTGACTTTATGTAGTTATTGAATTTGATATTAATAAACACTAATATCACATTATTAACAAACAGTTCTAAATATCATTGCAAAATACTTTATTTTAGGTTTATATAATTACACTGAAAATATTTATTTATATTTAATGAGTTTTAATGAATTTAATGACTTTTTCTGACTAATGTTTATAATAATGAAATCAAATTAAAATTTTTTATCATTATCATATATATAATGATGAATGTTTATTTTGAACAGGCAGTTATTAATAGTACTGTTACACCAAACATGATGTTCACTAAAACATCTCAGAAATTTGGACAATGGTCAGATATCAGAGCAAATACTGTTTATGGATTGGGATTTACTTCAGAGCCAGAATTGAACAAGGTAATGAAATTTTAAATTTTAAAAATCTAAAAATAGTTATTTAATTAGTTAAATTTGGCTTTTTGGATATAATAACATTTATATTCCTAAAAATATTTGAAATATCATATTGGATGTAATTTTAACATAAAAAATAACAATAAATTAAAATACTATATTTTATGGCATATGAGATTCAACTTTTATCTAAAATAGAAGACTTGAAAAATTTGCAATTTTACTTATAAGACACAAGCAATGCCCCAAAGGATAATGAATTCTTAAAACAGCTTTAAATAGGCTATAGGTAACCCCTACCTAACCAACTCTGGAACAAAATGTTATTGTTTAATTAAACATTATTATGTGGTGTTGTTGGAATGTATCCTACATAGCATATATCATCACCTAGTGCTATGCCAGAACAAAATCAAGGCATAATTCAGAAAAATGTTTTGTTTACAAGCTGTTTATGTATGTATGTATATGTATTTAAGAATTTCCTGAAATTTCCTGATGCTTTATATATCCTAAATATTCTGTGCTAAAATGTGTTTATTGATAGTATGTTAGCTTTTTGTAGAGTACTGTTGTAAAGCCTAATGTTCCAAGGCTTTTGTATAATGTATGTGGTATGATGCCTGTGCAAAAGAACTACTGGCACAATATGTATTTCATTAATACTTCACAGATGCTTTATATATCCTAAATATTCTGTGCTAAAAATGGAGGTACATCTTATATTCTTTAAAATATGATAGTTTATGTAAATATATACCAACAGTTATGTTTTTTCAGATACTTTCTTGTTCATTGATTTTAAAATAGTTATTAAAATACAGTAACAAGGTAGTCAGATCTAAAACAGATTTATTTTATGAAAGTATACTATTTTATTTTAAAAAGTAGATTTAAAATAAAAACAAAACAAAAAAAAATCATTTAACATTAATAATTTACAGATATGTTGTTTATTAGTATTCTGTAAATAGATATTTTAAATATATTTTTATTTCATTTAATTCCCAATTTAATATTGTTCAAAATTGGATTTATAGATAACTACTTTTATACTATCCAAAACTTTGTGTAATATTTGATTGTGTCAATTTAAATTTTCTATGTGAAGGAAAAAAAGGATTTGCTCTATGTTCTGGTTCAATTTATTATGACTATAACACATTTGTTGAAATAATCAGAATTATGCATATTTAAAATCTAGTATAGTAACTATAAGCTACAATTCATAAGCACTTTTTTTCTGAATTTCAAAATGCTACTATGATAGTTAAATCATTATTTTAGAATCAAAGAATGTGATTTCTTAGAATCCATTAGTAATATAATGTTTAAAATACTGAGAAACTAGAAAAGTAGACAGATAACATGATAGAAAAAAAAACGTTACTGTTTTCCCAAACCTGCAGTTTCACTGGATAAATGTCAAAAGTGAAATGTAACTTTTCTGATATTGTACTTTCCAGAAGTCATATTTTCAGGTAAAAATATTATCCTTGTATGTCTAAATTGTCTTGTTACCATGAAGAAGATATTAATTACTGCTAGGAATTAGGTTAATGAATATTAATAATACTTTTATTTTAATTTAAAAAATGAAGTATCTATATAATTTAAATATGAATATACATATTTATATTCATATATTTATTTTGCTTTTATAAATTATATCTTCTATTCTGAATTATTTATACAAGTGTGTANAGCTTTTGTTTTTAAACAAGTAAATTTATTACATTGCCAATTATTTCATATTGTTTTCTTAACTACATTGTATTTGAAAGAATGTCTGATGTGTGGAAATGTAACATAAGTCAATTAATTATAGAAAAAGTAACCACCAAAAATATTAAAGTCATTGCACATTGTTTCAGAATGGTATCAGCATAGAATTGCCAAGAAATTATATAATCCATGTTCTATATTAACAAAATATTATGTAACATAGCACATTTTTTGGATGAAACTGTCCAGTGTTTGGTTTGACCTCTATTGAATCTATATGTTATTTTATTTAATAAATGCAAATTTATCAAATTTACATTATAAACCATCAGTGTTATATTCAGAATATAAAGAAATGCATTATTAAATGACATTTATACGTACATGTGCTTCAAAAGTTTCTTTAATAAGCTGTAAAGATTCATCAAATCCTACACAAACATTAGAATCTAATCGTGGATCAAAAGTTTTCTCTTTTTGCGTAAACCACCAACCACGGCCTAAAAATTAAAATATTATTTAGAGAATACATTATTTTATGAAAAATACAGTATACTACAAATTAAAAAAATATTGTTTCAAACATCTTACCTGGTCGTAAGCAAGAACCTTCTGCAGGATTATCATTGGGTATAATATGTGGTGCATCTATAAATACTGCAAAAAATAAATAATTTAAAAATAACTTTCAATATTAAATTAACTAATTACAAAATACAGTAGAACCTCAATTACTCAATCCCAGATTAACTGAAGTTCTGTATTAACCAAGGCAAACCTGTAAGTGAATACACTGCTTTTATTTTATCATAAGTCATTAAGTCTTTGTTGTGAATACACCAAGCATGTAAATACTGTAGTATTTTTAACTTTGATTGTACTGAGGAGTGGCCGATGCTGAATCAAACATTGAAGCAAAGAAGAGAGGAACTGCCCTATTCACAAACAAAACATAAGCATTTTGTGTATACATTCTGTTGTAAACCAAGTAGAACAGCTACAACTTTGAGATCAGCACTGATACACCAACCATACCATACTTTTCATATTGAATTTTTTTCAAGAGATGATATCATGTTTTCATATATTTCTTTCATATATTCTTTCTGTGACCAATAGGAGTTGATGGATAAATGATCTTGAAATGTAGGAGGACAGATTTCAGGCTTAATTTCAAAGAATTGATAGAGATGCCATTTATCAGGTTTATTGTTGTAAATAAAGCTAACATCAATCCATTGATGTTCATGCAAAAGAAAGGTCTTTTTCCATTGAAAAGGATTTTGAGACATCTTTCTGACAATTACAATAAATGGAAATACTTGTATCAGGAGATAACTTCCTTTTTTTAACCTTAATCCCAAATTAAATTATTCAGTCCCAGCTGAACTGAACTAAAAACCTACTGAGTTGTGCCCTTCCACATAAATTATTGCTGAGTTGTACTGCATACCACTGAGGGCTTTACGCAAACTGTGAAAAACAAGAGGCATTGTCCTCTTGAATAATAATGCAACACCTCATATGGCACACACAACACAGGCTTTGCTTCACAATTTTGGATGGGAGGTCTGGCAGCATCCAGCCTATAGTCCCAATCTGGTGGATGTTGATTTTCCAATGATGACCAGGTCCAGACAGCTGTTCTCCACTGACTTCATGACAAGGAGTGACTTTCTATTCTTTCAGGGCATCAAACAATAGTGCAAATGTTTACATCAAATGAGTGGTCATATAGAGAAATAGTGTGGTATATGTGTGTCATATTGTATGGTAGAACTTTTCTCAATATTAATTAATTGAACTATTACTTTCTCTGTTTAATATTAAACATGATTTTAGTTATTTTATATAATATATTTCAAACAATAACTCCATAAATTACAAAAGACAATTAATTGTTTTAATTTCACTTCTTTAAATTTTGTAAATAAATATTTATATTTTGATTCAAATATAAACACACACACACACACTAAGATTTCTGGAAACTATCAATTTTTATACATGGTCTGTCTAAAAAGTTTGAATACTAGAATAAAAACAACAAACAGAAGATACATAGGATTGTTTTTATTGTCCGTCAAAGTACTGTGCATAAGACACAGCATCTTAAACCAAATGATACTGGAATTAATCAGGCTATTATTTTGTTTTTCTATAATTAATAATTATAAATTAAGTAATTTGATATTAGAGATAGATGTTAGGTGCCATCTCTTATCTAAACTAATATTTATAATGATGATTTATTAAATACTTTAGAACAGTCTGGAAGAAAAGAACTGGTTTGGAGTGGGATTTGAACCACAACCTCCACTTACTGTGTGGTGCACTGCCAGTTATGCCACTCGAACCTCCAAGCAATTCTTCACTTCCAGACGTATATTTAATCCTAGATATAACAATCCAGATTACTCAGTGCTGGCTGCAGGCTAGCAAATAATAGTTCGATTAATTACAGCAATCTTTTTGTTTTAGTACTATTGCATTGAGATTCAGATTGTTTATTATATATAGACAACACATTTTGACAATCTTCATAAAAGCTTCTGGAAACAGTTGGAGAAGTTTTGGTTGGGAAATGCTTTAAGACTGCTCTCACATGGGCCTGAATCACAAAGATATCAACAAAATGCAATCCCTTAATGACCTCTTTGAGGCAAGGAAACAAAAACAAGTCTGCAGGCACAAGGTTGCAACCTTGTGCCTGCCATTTTCCCCAATTTGAAGCAAAAAATTCATGTTGTGCCATTATTTTCACTGCTCTTTGATACCACCTCTCAAAGAGACTGTGCTTGTATTACTTCAGCAGAAGCCCACTTGCAGCCAAGTGTATTTCATGCCAGAAGATGATTTTGTACATGTCTCTGGATGTCTGTGCAAATGCTCAATCTTGTAACATGCAATGTAATTAAGATATCTTAACATTTACCAAACTTTTTAGATACTCCACACAAAACTTACATTCATTTTCTTAAATACTTTCTTAGTAGAAAAGCCAGTATACAGGTATAAAATTTCAAACTAACAAATTTCTTCCAATTGTGTATTATTCTTATTTTAAATACTGTATAAAGATTTTTATTATGGATAAAAAATCTAAATCAAATATAAATATGAGAAACAAAGAAATTTTAAAAGAATTGCCAATTATCTGTTTTTAATGACAAAAATATTCCAGATAGCTTTTATGTCTATTTTCAGAAGAAACCTTGAAACAGAACAATATAGTTTAAAGTTCACTTCTTGAACATACGGATTATTAAATTACCAGA